TCAGGAGCTGGTGGCTGATTTTCGTTACCTATACAGGTAATGACAGGAACAATATCAATCAATTTACCTTCGTCGATGTTTGTCGGTCGCTTCGACTTTTTCAACTGGTTCTGCAGGCTACGAATCCGGTCCATTATCTCGGATTCGCCGACCTGTCCCCGCCTCATGGTTGATCGGGCCTTTGAACCCTTCAGTCAACAAACTGAAAAAAGTTTCGGTGAAAAAACAGCTACACAATAGGGAAACGAAGCGGCAAATTGGGGAGCATTTGAAGAGGGGGCCTTGGGACCGTCGTATCGGCGAGCAAAGGAGCCATGAGTATCCAAAGGGGTCCGGGGTAGAGGAAAGAGGATTTCCGCTATCTTTCGCCCGAGAGAGAATTTAATTTAGTTGAATGCTACGGTAACTTCCTCAAAATAAGGACTAAAGAGAAACTTTGAATTGGGAAGAGGGAAAACAGCGAAATGTGAAAAGAAAGAAAACCTGCAATGATCCGGAAGCAAAATCGGAGTACGGTGCTGTACTGTTCTCAGGAAAGCTAAACCCGCGGTCGGACCCGTTGTAATGGGTTCGACCGCGGTCGGAAGCCGAGAACGGGTTCGACCGCGGGTTGGAACCCAAGAACGGGTTAGACCACGGGTCCGACCGCGGGTTGGGAGGGAACGGGTTATGGGCGGGTTGAGGACGGGTTGTGAACGGGTCGAAGACGGGTTAACGGCGGGTTGGATGACGACATCGAGCTCCCAAATTTTTTCTATTTTTTGCAATTACTTGCGCGCCCAGTTCAAATCCCGGTTCTATTCTTCTTGTTTTAATTTTCGACCTAATAAAACTATAATAATAATGTAAAATTAATGCCTTTGAGTGTTAGCTACTTTGTTTGCACAAATTTCGAGGAAATCATCGCTGCTAGTGGTTTAGGATTAGAAACCGAGAGTTTTTTTTGGAAACGTACTCGTGTGTTTTTATATTTTCATTGTTTGAAGTGTTGATATGTTGCAGATTGTTGGAATTATCACTTTCTTTTTGGTAGACGACCTAGACAATACTTTAATATGTCCCGTCTGTATCAAATCGAATGAAATAAAGCTAAAAACATTGTTTCTAAACCTTGCAGGTTATCTCGTATATTCATATGCGCATATAACACATAGAGAACGATATCTATAAGTTTCATATTGAATGCGCAGAAGAATCTAATACGAGACAACTTCTGTTACATTTTTCATCTAAAGTTTTAGCGTACGTAGCTCGTTTTTTCGCAACTGAAACTTGTTAAAGTATATTACTTGGGTGATCTACCAAAAAAAAGCGCTACTTAGCGCAACGACCGAAATATTCGCTTACGAGCGCAGCACTATTATTGCTGTGGGAAATAGCAACTCTTAAAACACTGAAGGTATCTAAAAACACGATTAAGTGTTCCGTAGACATGAAATCTTGGCTAATGTAATTTCGGGAAGATAACTTGAGTTTCTAATATCACGCGAAGCGTGGTAATAGAAATATACGTCGGAAGGCGGGCGCGGAAGCGCCGGAAGTGGCTTGACTAGTGGCAATATCAGACCGCGGGCTGGAGCTGGGTTGAGAAAAGGTCCGACCCCGGGTTGAGAACGGGCCCGACCGCGGGTTGGAAGGCGGGATAAGAAGGGAATCGGCTGCAGGCAGACCGCGGGTTAAAGAACGGGTCCGACCGCGGGTTTAGCTTTCCTGAGTTGCGGAATCGAAAGTTTTATAGTTTTTTCCCAATTTTCATTAAAAAATTTTTTAATCAAACCTTTCATTTTTTAAACCTTTTTAGTTTTATACTTCTCGAGTAGTCGAGATCTCGTTGGCGACCACGCTGTGAACATCGCCTCAGAGATCCATGACACGCTTGGTGAGCGGATTTTCGTGTCTTTAGTTTCAACCTCCAGGAGAAACAACGTGTTTTAGAAGACTTACCGAAACAGCACCGTGTCTGGGTGTTTATTAGAACCTGATACTTTTGAAGCAGGCTGCCTGATTAGCTATATCAGGCCGTTAGCTGGCCTCTTTCAACTTGTTCGGCTCCACGGATCCAATTCTTTTCGTCTTTTTGGGGCCTTCTTGCTAATTTTTTAATCGGAAAATGTCAGGTTGTTCCGGAATTCCGGCGTCAGAAGCACCCTAGCTCTAGTTCCACTTGTTCGCTCGCTGCATCTATCAGGGGGTACCAGGGTGTTTTTCCCCTTGGGCATTATTTTTCCGGTGGGTTAATATCCGATGATGAAGGATTCTGGGCGCCCACACTGGAAACTTCTCTGGGGCGCACAACTCTTCACCCATAATAGCTCACATCTTTGGTGTTGTGTCACGTCGACGGCTTCTTCGATCGCGAAAAACCTTGAGCTTTTTTGGCAAAAGGACATTTAAAAACTAAAGTCTATTTTTGAAGCCGCTCCTTTAGTTCTATAAATTAATTTAGTTTATATTTTAATATTTTTCGTCATTTCTGGGT